GAGGGGGAGGGGCATGGGCACCAGGCTGGTCTGCATCGGGTTCCTGCTCTGGCCTCCGCCAGCCTGTGGGAGCTCAGCCCCGTGAGCCCCGTGCCCCTCATGAGCAGCTGGCTGCTGGGCTGGTCTCAGCCCTTTCCCGGGGGCTGATCACACTGTGTGTCTCAGGGCTTTTTGTGTTTTCTGTTTTGTTAGTATGTTTGTTTGTTGTTAATCCTCAGCTGAGGATATTTTTCCCATCGCTTTCCGGAGAGAGAGAGACTCATCAATTGATTGGTTGCCTCCTGCACACACCCTGACTGGCGCCGGGAATCAAGCCTGCAACCCAGGTACATGCCCTTGGCTGGAATCGAACCCGGGACCCATCAGTCCACGGGCGAAAGCTCTAACCACTGAGCCAAACTGGCCAGGGCGGGGCTTTTTGTTTTAAATAGTGACAAGCAGTCTGCTAACCTTAGGCCTCTGAGAGCTGCCCGGAGGTGACTCCAGGTGCCCTTCCTCACTCACTGCAGGACCGACCAGGTCAGAGGAGCTCGAGCCGCAGGGAAGCGCCTGCAACCGCAGTGTCCCTGCAGGGGCAGGCATGGGGCGCTGGCGTCCTGGCCGCTGCTGTGCGGTGGTCACTCCCCCCTGGAGACACTGACCCAGTGCTCAGGGGGCTGCGGCTCCCACCCAGGCCCCGGGAGAGAGGAAACCCCCAGAGTTCCTCTCGGGTTGTCCTCGGGATGAGATTCCAAAGCCTCATGTATGTTATTTGTCCACTTTTCTTTAAAAGGTAGAAAAATATTATTTTTGCTGTTTTAATGAAGCAACTTCAGCACCACTAAGCAACAAAGGCTGAGGCAGCTCCGCCCCAAGGAGCCACGGTTTCCACGGGCCACTCGGGCTGCCTTGTGGGCCACGGACGTCTGAGCTCCCCGTTTCTCTGGGACAACGCGATTTGATTCTTTCACCAGATTTAGAGCCTTTGGATTCTAAACCAAAAACCAAGCCTTAAAAAAAACCAGCCAACCACGCAAAATCAGGACACGAGAAACACTACTCGGGTGTTTACAGAACTACAAACTCGGTTCTGAATTTCACCTTCCCACAGAAATGCAAGCGCGATTAAACTTAGGGGGAACTGCAAGGGTCCTGGGCTTTCAAAGGTTAAGTGAAAACAGGCGAGTTATTTGTGGGGAATAGAGGAAGAATTTAAGATTTTAACATCCACCCCCCTCCTTGGCATGTGCTCCAGGCGCCCAGGGTGATGGTTGGCTGGGGGCACAGCAGCTCCGGGCAGAGGGCCCTGTGTTCCCTCCATGAGGAAAGAAAATCCAGTCCCCGGCCTCTCAGGTAAGCTGACATTTAAGAACGGAAGCCCAAGTTTTACAGGGCAGAAGGGGACGCACATGACAGTGGTCTTCCCGGCGCCGTTGGTCCCCAGCAGGGCGGTGATCTGGTCTCTGTGGAAGGTGAGGGTCAGGTCTCGCACGGCCGCCTGGTGGGGCTGGTACTCCTTGGTCACCGACACCAGGGTGACGCCCGGGGCGCCCCCTTCCCTCTCCCCCTTCCCGTGTTGTGGTGACGACCCTGTGAGGAAGATGGAAACACCCCTGAGAGGACGGCAAACGCCCCGATAGCGAGAGGACCCAGCGGCGGCCCTGGACACGAGTTGTGGTTCCAAAACTTATGAAACGTGCAAAAATCTTTCTTTACAAAATCAAGAAGCAAATCATGTAACAGCAAAATTTAGGGAGCTCTTGGGTTACAAAGGTCTGCAGCCTTACGCTGTCCGTTTCGTAAGAAAATAAAAATAAACCTGCACACATGCACACACATGTATGTACATGCACACATGCACACAAATGCACGCCTGCACATGCATCTGCACGCGTGTGCACACATATGCACACACGTACACACGTGCGTGTACATCTGCAGAGGACAGGTAAGTTACACGCCAAAACGTCCTCAAGCAACACTCTCCCGAGGAGGCGAGAGTTAGTAGGTGCCTGTCGTGTTCCAAGTTTTCTAAGAGATTCGCAGTTTCCTCGTGTGGCCAGAAAAACCATACTTTCCAGAACTGCCTTGTAGAAGAAACCGTCCTGCGGGAGCCTGTGCATTCGCAGACCCTCAGCGGTCCTCCGCCTGCGAGGGGCCCCGGGAACGGCGTGAGCACCGTGAGGACGGGCCACGCTCCTGCCCTGCCCGGGGGCAGCTTCCCGTGCGCAGGGACAGGGACGCTCTCCCAGGGACACACCAAGTGGGGACGAGGGAACACAGGGGGCCTGAGCGCCACGTGCCCGGCGTGCTCTCCATACAGACCTGCGCGGCCGACGTTCTCGCGGGGGGAGAACAGACCGGGACCCCGAGGGCACTGCCCCTGGGCCACGGGGCCACACAGGCCCTTCCAGTACGAGGCCGTGAAGGGGAAATGCCACGGCTTCCGCAGGCCGACCGTTCCTGGGAAGCAAGACAGGGGCCGGGTCAGTTCAGCTCTTCTCTGTTCAGAGCAAGCTTCTGTAACAGGACGTCGTGACTAATTAATACAGGCTGTCGTTCCAGGTGGACGCACTCCGCACACAGCCCGTGTTCGAGGCCAGTGACAGTCCCCAGCCTGCCCAGGGCCCCTCCCTCCGCTCCCCGCGAGGCCGCGTGAGCAGGCGTCCAGGACACAGGTGGGGTTCACCAAGACAGCAGCCGCACTGCCTGACGGCCCCGACTCCCCCGAGCGCAGCCGGCCCCGCCCACCACCCTGCGGCCCTGTCCCCGCCTTTGTCCACCTGGGATGTGCGCACCGGTGACTAGACGGGTGAAGAGCGTGAAGGAATTAACCAGTTACAACTTCTACAAAGGAGGTTAAGTCGCGGTGCCAACGTTCCCACACGAAACACATCGACAGCCTTTCATCAGGCGCCAAATCCCTTCCGTCCCCTCAGCAGCCACGCGCCCGCTTCGCGGGCTGAGGTGCGGGTGGGTTTCACAGTCAGCAGGCCTCGGTTTTCTTTAGCACATCACCGTAGCTTAGGTCGGGTGCGTGGGCCACACTCCACGGGGCACTGAAGAGGGAGAGGCCCTCGCGACCACCCAGCAAGGGAGAGACACACAACCCCTCACCCCATCTCATCAGATGGTTGAAATTACCACAGAGGACAGCAGGAGGCGCCACCTCTGCAGTGAAGGGAGGCGCGGAGCCGGCACCCAGGCCAGTGTTCTCCATGTTACGGGTGGAACTGTGTCCCCCAACATTTATACATTTATACGCCGACGTCCTAGCCCCCGTGTGACTGCGTTTGGAGGAAGAGCCTTCCAGGAGATGACTAAGGTTAAATAAAGTCACCAGCTCAGGCACTAACCCCATGACTGGTGTCCCTGTAAGCAGAGACCAGGACACAGGCTACATGAGGACACCTCGGAGGGAAGGCCACGCGTAGCCACGTGTGGACGCCTCGGATGGGAGGCCACGTGAGGACACTCGGAGGGAAGGCCACACGTAGCCACGTGTGGACTCCCTCAGAGGTGAGGCCACGGGTGGACACCTCGGAGGGAAGGCCACGTGTGGACACAGGGAGGAGGGGGCGATACACGCCTGGGGCACCGACACCTCGATCCTGGACTTTCTGCCTCCAGACCGTGGGACCCTTCATTCCCGCTGCTTGGCCACGCGGTCCGAGTGCTCGTTTTGGAGGCCGGAGCGGACTCATGCAGACGGGCTGCTCTCCAAGAGCCTCGCGAGTGAACGCCCATCCCCAGCCGGAGGGGCCCGCGGGTGGGCAGGCCATACCACAGCCGCCCTCCCCGCGCTCTCTCTTCCGGCTCTGCCGGGGCCTTCCCGTATTAACACACGGCCCTCGCCCCCGGACGAGCGGAGCTGTTATCACCTCTCCCTTCCTGGTGGGAAAGGGCCCCAGAAAGTCTCCCCGAGGACCCTCCGCCCGCGAGCTGCAGCAGCTTCACGACAACCGTGCGGCGCCCCGGGAGCCCCTGCCTGTCGGACACACACATGCAACACGGAGACGCTCCTGCCGTCCTTTTAAACAGGTCGCCCCTGACTCACAGCCAGGAGACTCGCCTCCTCTCTGCTCCCCTGACCAGGGGCAGGAACGGCGAGCGTGTGGAAACAGAGGGAGACGATCCTGCAAACGCTGGTGCTGTCCCTGCTGCTCAACAAGCAGTTTCCTGCGAAGGGTGACAGCTCTGTCACTGCTGCTGATGGTGGGGTGGGCACCCCCTGAGAAAGCGCCCTGGGGTTTGGACACCTTCGGGTGCTATAGGTTTTGAATTAGCAGCGGCGAGGGGGCCGCCTAGAGGCCTGGGCAGGAGCTACATGGGGCCGACGGGCCCAGGTAAGCGCAACGAGGCCGGGGTGAGGCTCGCCGCGGGTGGAGGCCTTTTGGAGGGAAAAGGAAGACTTTAGAAATAAATTGGATATTAATGGTGATTGCTAATTACACCACCCCAGCTTTAATCTGTCTGGACTTTAAAAATCCCCCTAATTGATCTATTAACTTAATGAATGGGAGCTGCAGGCCCAAGCTGGAGGGGAGGCCGGGGCTCCCAGCTCCTCGGCCGAGCACCCAAGCCCGTCTCACGCGCACGCTGCCGGCTCACGCACCCCGGCCCGTTACCAGAGGCACGCGGACGACGCTGACATACGGACCCTCCCCGAGGGGAGGCGCCGAGCGAGGAGCCTGAGACCAGGGGAGCGGTGGAGGAGGGACAGGAACCCAGCGAGGGCACATTCCCAGCACGGATACATCCGCTGAACACAGCAGCCAGCAGCTCTCACACTGCCTCCCGGTCACCTGGTCCTCCTGTAAAGTGCAGGAGTCTTACCGGGAATCAGGTTGCTCAGGTACCAGCCACCCAGAAAATAAAGGCCCGAGTCGACCAGGATCATCCAGCAGACCCAGCCGAACGCCATGCCCCCCTGCTCCGGGGGCTGGTCCAGGTTGCCCCACTGGACGCCTGGGGGAGGAAGGGCAGAGTCAGGCCCAGGGCGGGGGGCAGGCGTGTTAGTCCTGGAGGCCCGGGCAGAGCTGCCGGCGAGCGAAGCAGAAGGAAGGCCAAAGCCGGGGGCCCAGTCCTTCAGGGGGGTCAGCTTGTTAACCTCACACTTAGCCCCACGATGCGGCAGAGCGACCGTTAAAATGTCTTAATATCTAACGTTTAAAAATTTTAAAGGCTGCTCTCCTTGTTTACTTATTTAGAGAAAATAAGCGTGTTTATAAATAAATAAAAGAGAAAGCAGACTCCTGAGGCTCCAAACCCCACGTGGCGTCATTCCCTCTGCTCTTAGAAAACGTAAACAGGACGCAGAGGACCTGGGGTGGGAGAGAATCGCTACTTCCTACAATGTATTTGCAACTTACTGCTGGGTTGAAATATAATTTAAGCAAAATATCCCTCTTCCTCAGTTTTCCTCTGGGACTAGCCTAGAACTCAACAAAATAAATGTTTCAACACTGTGTGCTTGTTGGAATTTTAGCCCAAAATATCCACAGGACTGGACAGTGACCATTTTCCTTCTGTGTCCTCTGGACCCCATCTCGGGTCAGGAGCAGCTGCAGGCCCCCGGGGGGTCTCGCGGGGTCGCCCTTGCCCCAGCCCAGCTCCCGTGCACAGGGTCTATGTCTGAGACCTGAAATGCCCGGGGCTCCGAAACCAGCGCCGAGCGAAAGGGTTACCCTCACAGTGGCTGGAGCAGAGCTGCATTTACTGTGCAGACTGTACCTGTAAGTGTTTACAGAGACCATGTAAACACGCGAGAAACACATGCCTGTCCTGACTCAGGAGGGTCGTTGTCAAAGCCTCAATGTAAGTGAAATGGGCAGCCACTCGCTTTGTTAGAATATTATTTTAGGCTGAATTAATAGGGATAAAATATATGGAAGTAAAGGAGATGATTATACTCCATCTGCACCGGTTAAATCTCTGGGCGTGGCCTTGGGGAAGGAGCCAGAAGATCTGGGGGCAGAGGTGAGAGCCGGCAGACAATGCGTGGACGCGGGCATGCGACAGAGGGAATCAGAGAGAGAAACTAGTTTGACTCAGTGGTTAGAGCATCGGCCCGCGGACTGAAGGGTCCCGGGTTCGATTCCAGCCAAGGGCACGTACCTGAGTTGCAGGTTCGATCCCCAGCCCCCAGTCGGGGGCGTGCAGGAGGCAACCAATCGAGTGTCTCTCTCACATCAATATTTCTCTCTCTCCCTCCCACCC